GTTGCTCCATGGCTTCGTGAATGGCGACTCGATCTTCATCTCTCATTTTATCAAACTCATCGATGCAGACAACCCCGGTGTCCGCAAGGACCATTGCTCCACCTTCCAAATAGAATTCTCGCTGGAGCATTAATCCATAAGTTGAAGGTGAAAAGGCAAAAATTAGAAAAACACACGGAGACGGGGTCACGTTGGACAGCTGCTGTCAGACCTGCAGCACTAGAACCTTTGCCTGAAGTGTAGACCGCAATTGGAGCAACCTACAGACTATTTCATCGTTGCACACAATCCAGCGGTTTAGTCCTTACCTTTTCCACAAATTTGAGCAGCTGACTCTTTGCAGTACCAGGATCACCGAGCAGCAAAACATTGATGTCTCCTCGTAGACGCATCCCATCTGGCAAGACTTTCTTTGAGCCTCCAAATAGTAGACATGCGATGGCTTTCTTGATATCTAAGTTCAAAGTAAGTTTCACTTCCATGCCTCACTGAAAAGAGTGGGGTATACCGAGACTTCCATAAATACTTGGGGCAACACTTTTTGCGAATCGTTCATAGAAACCTTCACTCCGCGACATCTCACCAAACTCTTCTTCTTGTTGAGGCGTGAACTGGGCACCGAATGGATTTGAACCTCCCGCACCGGCAGGCGACATCAATTCGAGATGGATGAGACGGATATAGGATTGTCGCAAAGCAGCAGTTCCTCCACTTTTCTGTACAAGCAGTTGGTTAGTGATCTAAGGGGATCTCAACGATTCTCACATTCTTCGCCGACTGGTATTGCGAGAAAATCCCGGAGGCGATGACTCTAGAACCTGGAACAACCTTTCCGGTCAGGTATCTGTCGGCACTAAGAAGCATGTGTCGAGGAAGTTCTCCAACGGGTACCATGTCCGGTGCTTCTTGGAGTTTGAGAATTTGCTGATCTGCGAATGTGGATTTCGAATGGATGATCAGGTAGGGGTCAAGTGGACAGTCCTTCTTCTGTCCTTCGGGTTCTGGTGCATCACAAACACGGGGCAGTCCACGATCCGAACCACTGGCGAGACCACCCAGCCCAGCTTGCGGGTATATGATTTTCGTGGATCGACACGCGCGACATTGAAGGTGAAGTTTAGTTGCTCGAGAGGTAAGGACGGATGCAGAAATGACGATCCCTGGCATCCGCACAAGCTTGTTCATGGTATTCGCAGTGAGTTCGCGGACTTGAAGGAGGTTGAGGCCCGATTTGACCGTGATTTGAACTTTTGGGATTGCCTCAGCGGCTGCTTCTGTTCGATCTAGTGAGTTGGCTGCTAAAGGGTAGAGGATGTTGCGCGCGACTTTGGTCGCCGCATTTTCAAACTGAAGAAAGAAAGGTTCAGCTATAGGAAAACATTTTCTAGTTCACATAAGTACCAATGGCAACACGTCCGCTGGCTTGTCTTGGATGGCATGGGCTAGTTCATCGTGGTAGATACTGACGTGACGAAGGTCGACTTCGAGGATGTGTTGTTTAAGGAGGATGTTCCCGCGCAGCTTATCACTGTAAATAGTCAGTGAACATTCCAGGCAGAGGAAGGCAACAAACCGATAGATAAATTCTCCTCCGACGCGAAACTGGAGAATGAAATCCACCAGTAACTTCTCCGTCTCCGAAGGCGAGTCAGGTGTCGCGGCAGCGGGCAAGTCGTGCACAGACACAGAGTAAACGCGATTCGCGTCGAATCCAGACATGTTGAAAAAGAAAGCGTATCTTCGAGAATGGGTATGAGAATTAAAGAACACCGTGACTTGCCTGATGACAAGCTTAAGGGCAGGCTTTCTCGCGTCAACGTGCGCGGCCCGCCATTTCCGTATGCATAAAAAGAAATAAAATAATGGAAAAATAAGAAGAGCAAATTCAGCAAAGAGTGAAGAAAGATTTTAAAAGGCTCAAAACCTTGATGCGAAACTAGGTCGGTTTTAATATAAAATGAATGCCAGTACTTCGAAACCAGCCTAAACGGGAAACTGGACAGGGGTGCTTTATATAATGTGGGAATGCCTTCTGTCAAGTACTTATACTTAGCCCATTCACTCTTTCTTCATAAATTCTGACCTTTCGGATGTCGGGTATACCATGGATATGGACAAAATCGGAGAGTAATACCTCAGCTACTCAAGAGTTTGATACGGTGATGAAGAGGGTGAAGGCAGAGTTCGATGCCTTACCTCCTTCTGTAGCAGTACTGGCAACTTTCGCCCTGGGATCAGCAACGGCGATGTCAGGTATTTTGGTTTACAAGAGATTTGGCCGGAGGATTCGGAACAGTGAATGGGTCACCCCCAAATTGCTCACGAGGAAACGCTGGCTCAAAGGAGTGGTGACGAGGTCAGTGCGAGTGCGACTCAGCTTTTTATCAACACTGCTTATGAATGTAAAGTGTCGGAGACGCGGACAATTTCAGATTCTTTCATACACCTGCCCTTGGAGGCTACTCTTGGCCGCTGAAAGTCAGGCGCATACCGACGTTATCAAAAGGTGCAGTAGAATCGTTTCTTTCGTCGTCATGGCGTGTTGAAGAATGCCATAGATTTGAAAAATGAGACTTTGCACATCCGAATCGCTGGAGTGGATGCTCCAGAGGTACTTGCGCGTCGATCTCTGTGTCATACATTTCCTCCTGATCTTGCTTATCCAAGGCCGGACACTTTGGAAAGCCCGCCCAGCCCTATGCTGCAGAAAGTTTGGCCTGGCTTCGAAAACGTATTCTAGGGAAGAAGGTCTATGTCAAACTCCTGAGGAGGGATCAATATTCTCGTATAGTAAGTGTTAAGAAAGGTCATTTGTGATTACTTTGCATTCGTGCCCACAGGTTGCTCAAGTCTCCCTTTCCCCCCGAATACTACCCGGACTTTTATTCCATGGCAAGAACCTCCCAGAAGAAATGTTAAAATCAGGATGGGCGGTGACTTACGAACAGGTAAGGAATTCACATCTTGGCGCCTGCCCATCGTCACTTACCATGCCTCGTCCAGGCCGGCGCCGAATACGGAAAGGTGGGGAAAGAGGGCTACCTTCGACTAGAAGCGGAATCGAAGTGAGCAGTGCGATTGCAAATCCTCTCCCTGCGCTTACGCCGATGTAGGGCTGCACGTAGAGGGATGTGGAAAGGCGGATCAAACGCTGAAACGCCTGCAGAATACAAGCGACGCCATGCCTCATCAGGTTCGCTCCCAGTTGAGGAACCGAAGCTGGCTACCTCGGGAACTCGTAAACGACAGAAGACTTGGTGGAGCAAACTCTTCTCTCGATAGACTTCCAGCAACATCTGACAAGCAAACCGTGTACTTTCAAAAGCGTGTATTTTCCATTGTTTTATTAGCTTTACTAGTCGTTTATTTATATGTTTGCTCAGGCTGCTAGACTGCATTCAGCTCATTTTATGACGTGATTGTGACTAGTCCAGGTCTCCAAGATTTCACGCGCGTCGCGTACTTACCTGACTTGTGCTCTGTCAGGGCTTCTGACGCTTTGCTGCTATGGATCATTCTGCTTCGGAACGTTACATTCTTCCTTCACACCCATCACTCATTTCGCTTGACCCTCTAGGAATATCCGATGAAGAAAACCCTTCGCATTGGACAGTTATCAGCTTATACATTGCTCAATTCCGTGCTTCCTCCAATTATAATCTTCTTCACCTCCCCGATCTGATTGAAGATTTATCATATTCAATACATATGAATGGTAACTTGGACACTCGCTTTCTTCGGCGTTATATCCTTCAGAAACACCTCGATTCACAATCTCAAGCAAGCCAGGCACTCCTGGATCATATTCTCGACGCAGCCTTACATCTGCCCCACGCATTCCCGAGCCATGGCTTATCATACCTCCAGGACTCTAACCCGTTGCTCCAATTAACCACTTCCAAAATCAAATGTTTGCTCGCACACCAAATCCTCAACACGCTCCAACCTTCCAAGGGCAATACGTGGGGATGCACCTTCCCTTGTTGGTACTCGGAGCCACAGCCCTTTGAAAACGCAGTGTCAGGCTATCTGTCATCCGTGTTTACCTTTTTCCTTCCTTCCCAGGAGGAAAGCTCTCCAGTCACTTATCAGTATTCATCCAATCGTCAAGAAAACAACATCGACGAGTTCGTTTCTTGGAAAAGTTGTACCACTATTCCTCTTTTCGAATACCTCGCCATCGACCCCGTTTCCGCAGCAACCGTTCCCTTTCCTCATCCAAGCATCTCATGCACACTGGTCGCATCTAATAAATGCCCTGGGTTTGGTGCAGCATGTACCCAGGAAGAGCTTGTGACTGCAGCTTGTCCCCCACTGCTCCCGATGGGCGCACTTTTCGTCGCACCCCCTATACCACCAGATGCTGCTCTTTTGGTATCTGGGAATGTGTTTTTGACTGAATGGAAGGGGCAAGGACGAGAATCTATTCATTTGGGTACCTCGATCCTAAGTAAACAAACTTTTCTTTTCATTGACGCCTCCGAGCTTGATGAATGTGCTTCATCGACACTGATACCTGATTTGAATCCCGCCGTCCTCTCGAGGGACTTACACAAGGCGCATACCGGATTCCTGGCTCTTGCTCGACTGCATATCAAAGACATTGCCTCCCCGTTGTGGGGAGCTGGATCCTTCGGGGGAGACCCTATCGTCAAAGCTCTTGTATTATTGATGGCTGCAGCTCGAGTGGGAGTTAAGCTCCATCTTTCCGTTGATGACCAGCGCACCTACGACATGACTGGGTCAATACCAGGGTCAAGAAAAGTAATTGAGATTCTCCGCGATTTCAAGGAAAGCTGTCAGAACCTGTCCATCGGTGATATCATGGAGCGGCTGGCAACCATAGATGGGTGCGATGTAGATATTCCCTCTCATGTGAAGGCAACCGATGGTGAGAAACTCTCCATCCAATAACCCCTTCAGCTAATGACCTCTTCAAGGTGAATATTCAAAAACTGAAGCCTGAATCTTTGAAAAATTGATGCACTCGCTGCTCCGTGTCCTTCTTAGCTCAGGGGTAGAGCGCGTCACTAGTACGGCGATTACAGTAAGTGATCCTCGTCATGACGAGGTCAGTCGTTCAAATCGGCTAGGAGGAATTTTCTTTTTGCGTTGCGTTGTTGAAAGGATGATTCGCGAAGCAATCGCCGAATCGAGGTCTTGAAGGCTGAAGACAAACATAGCCATGGATCTCATATTCGAGTCTCCAATATTGTAGCTCCGGTTCCTGGTCAAGTGGTCCACAAGATAGCAGTTGGTTATGCAGCGCTGGCAAGTTCATACATCGTATAATATGACATTTATTTATGAAAGGCAAACTGCAGGGTTCTGCAGCCCGGCGCCAGGATAGGTTAACGTGACTATATTGTCTTTTGAGAATCTCACTTACTGGTTAAATAAACCTTGTCTACATAATTGCCTGCAAGAAGAAATATGATTTTTCTCTGGGGAACGAAAAAAAAATGAACATTAGCCCACCGCGAGGGTCGAACTCGCAGCCTTCAGATGATCCAAGGGATCTAACCCGCCTAAGAGTCTGACGCTCTATCCGATTGAGCTAGGCGGGCTATGAATGCCGGTTATTGTTTAAATTGATAACCCGACAGCTGTGATAGTCATCGTAAATGAGCGCCCAGCCACGTGGAGCTGTTGTTATCGTGTCATACTGATTTGCTCATGTGCATTGTACCTGGTGGCTGCCGTGCGCTGACGTTGCACCAAGCCCACGTCTCCAAACCTCCACGTCTGGACACGTATGCATTATTGACCTTTGCGCAGTAGAGTCGAAACATAATAGCAATTGTCGATTGAAAAAGGGGAATGTATCGGACAGCCAGTTTTCCGCGCGGTCGATATATGAAAGGCGGTCAGTTTGTGCCGTGTGTGACAAGTAGATGCTGACGTAACTGCGCAGCAGCCGTATATGCGTGGGGCTGTTCATGAGCCAGCTTTCTTTCTATCCACCACCATCTTCGCCCCCTCTGACTCTGCTAGCCCTCCGCAGTATCTATTAAACAATGTCGGAAGCACAGTTGTATGCGCATGCCTTTGAGGCTTACAGCAACGAGTTCGTCAAGCAGCAACAAAGCCTCGACTTTTTCTCGTTCCACTCGGCCTCAGACGTCGTCGCACCCCACCCGGATCTCTTCGAGTCCGATATCGATTCAAACTTGGCTGCTTTCCCCGATCAGTTGCAACTCTTGACTGTTGATTCAAACGACGCCTACAGCTTCTTCAGAACTGAAAACCCGCAGTGGCAGGGACCCCTTTCCACCATCACCGTCTCTTCAGAATCCTACGATTCTTTGTCCTCCCATTCCGAGTCATTTTACAACGAGCAAGTCTCTACGTTTTCCCCCACCCCCGTCAACAATAACCAACTCTTCGATTTTGACCTGGACATGGACTTCCAACGAGTCCGAGTTGGTTCCGAATACGCCGGGGTTCAGCCTAGCAATATTATGGATGAAGTCAATGACCCGACTTCATTCGGCACACTGCCGCCTACACCTCCCCACAGCCCACCCGTCGCCATGGCCAGTGCAAAGGGGTTTGACAAGCCTTATGTTGCCCGCACAAGCTACTCCGATTATGGGTCCCAAAGGCGTGGTTCCACAACGTCGTCGGACTATTATGCACACTCCGGGTACACTCCTTCTCACAGCCACCCCACCGTCTCCCCCTTGCATATTTCTTCTCAACTTCCTACCTTGGCATCGGTTACTCCTCAGCCACTTGATGAATACAAGGGTGACCCACGGAAGAAATACCGGTGCTCCGCGTGTCCACGAGGTTTGTACCACTAGATCTTTTCCCCTTGTCGTACTAACATTTTGTTTCTAGCATTTGCAAGGGCCTACAATTTGAAAACGCACATGGCTACTCATGACCCGAACCGGTTAAAGCCCCACGTCTGCCCCCAGCGCTCCTGCGGTCGCTCGTTCAGCAGGAAGCATGATTTGGGCCGTCACCTTATTAGCATTCACCGCGACGAAGCCGTCAGCGCAGCACTCCTTCCCACCTCCAAGAAGGCTATCGGTGTTGAGAGTGCCCCCCGTGGGTGGTGCAACTCCTGCGGCAAAGGCTGGGTTGGTCGAAGCGCAGACTGCGACTGCCATGACGTCAAGTAAATATGAAGACCAGGCAGTTTCTCGCTCCACCCCCCTTTTGTGTAGGTCTTCCGGTCATAATTTTTTTCTTCATCTAACTTACACCAAATCCCAGGCACTTGCTTGCCACCCTTCTATGTGCTCGTCGGTGATTTTTATATGTATGACTTATTTGCGTCTTTTGGCGTATAAGTTCGCCGTCCCGCCCTGCGTCAATCGCTGTGTCACGTATCGTACCGTCGAGTATACAATACTCGACCCCGCGACGAACGTGATCTCGATCGAATTTCCCATTTTTCTTTGCCAATATCCTTGTAGTTACGATGGAATATTACATATACGTCCTACTCTTTTTTGCTCCATGATTGCCCCCTAGTCTTCGATGTCCCGACTCTCCTTATGATTGTATCTCCCTTTCTACCTCTCGTGACCATATTACCAACTGGACTGGAATTTCCTTTGGATATCTCTTCGCTATCTTCTACTTTGCTATCATCGATAATTCAAATTGAACTCGTTATGTTGGATTAGCGTTGGTATGGCGCAGATTCTCATATTGAACAAAATAATACAATGGGAATAACTTCTTGGATTTACATTATGTCAGGAACAGCATAACAATTGCATAGGCATTGGCGACCAAAACGATGCACCAGATGACATAGGCCAAAGAGGCTAGCATTAGGCCATTGCTAAAGTCCACCGCCTCCTCCACGTTCTGTACACTCTCGTTTTGATTTTCGGCGTTGACTGTTTGTGACTCTCCCTGCTCAGATATCTCGAACTCAGCGGGAATTGGCTGCGGCCCTTTCTCCGTCTGGTCGACTGCCTCTGGTTCCGGTGGCGATTTTTGCACTCGCATGACCGCCTCCTTGGAGGTCAAGTAAATGAGGGGAAACGCCACGAATGGGAGAACTACGGAGAGGACCACTTGTGATGCGAATAGGAGTGTGTTGATGCCCTCTCGCCCCACTGCGACGGCAACAACCACAGAGGGAACCAGGCTAATACACCGTGTGATCAACCTCCGGAGAAAAGGCTACAAAAATGGACCCGAGTGTAGATTAGAATAGAATTGTGTGATGATAAGGTAGAACCTTGCATACCGAAATTTTCCACTCGATAAACCCTTCGGATACAATTTGACCGGCTAGCGTCACGGTAATGCTGGACGTTTGCCCCGCACATACCAATGCGAGGGCGAATATCACCCCCGCGCCTGCACACGTCCGACATTTAACGCGACAGCCAACTTGAGTAAAACCACTGACCATTGCCAAGGCGGTTGCTGATAAAGTCATGAGCTTCAAACAGGCCCGCAGGAGAGCCAGAGGCGCCAACTGGTCCATAGAAGAACACAGCTGCTGCTAATATGAGAATTCTTCACCAATTTTTCCGTCAGCGTGTATTTTCCCGGTTGTGAAAATGGAACTAACGCAGAATTGATTGGGATTGCCAGAGCGATTAGACTAGTTACGACATCCGCAACACCATGCCGTAGATGCTGATTGATAAACGTCAAAGAATTGTTATCGCGGTCACCGTATTTCATGCGATAATCAATGGTTGAGCTGGTTCGGCCTGCCTGGGTGATTCGGAATAACGGGTTTACGATGTTTTGGACCTTTGATTTGAAGCCAGCACGGCCCGAGGCAGGAGATGGCAATTCTTCTTCCGGTGGAGCAATGGTGACACGGTCCTGGGTTGCCAATGACGAGCCCAGGAATAAAGCATGGGGCATAACCGTAGCACCCAAAATTCCGACCGCTATTTTTAAAGGACAAAATAAATGATTTCCCTTGCGAACGGGAGGTGAAATATTCCTACCAGTATATACAGCGTCAGGTCGCGATTGGAATAAAGCTTTATTTGGGATGTACCCCATGAAGACTTGAGACCAGTCTGGGCTCGCTTTTACAAGAAGCACAACGAAACAGGAGAAGACAGCGAGGACCTGGGCAGCACAGCATGAGACTGTATCCATAGCTGAATGAATGGACTGACCAGTCCTATGATTGAAAATTCAAAAACTCTGACAGGCCTACCTTGGTCCCGGGAAGGGGCGCTGAAGGATAAAAATATCAAAACATCGGCAGCAGTGAGCACGACACCAGCCCACAAAGGAAGCTTGGGGAATAGAAGGCAAAATCCAATAGCAGAACCTAGCAATTCCGCCAGGTCAGTTGAGATGATAGCGATTTCCGATAAAACATAGAGGGGATATAGCATGAGCCACCGCATAAGTCGAGGATGGCGTGGATGATCGTGCAAGAGGAGTCTGCAGTGGCTTGCGAGATCTGCAGGCCTATTCAGCAACGGAGGTACAGGAGCGGAGGTGAATTATACCAAGTCCTGTAACGCAACCTAATTTACAAGACAGAGTCTAGATGGGGAATCTTCTTTTCTTGCTCTAGTAAATTGGGTAGAGGTGTTCTTGCCTGAAGAACGATGGCACCTAATCCAGCCATAAGAACTACGAAGAGCATGGGTCGATAACCAAAACTCGAGCCAGCTTGGAGGTCAACGCTCCAATTGCCGCTGGAAGCATAAACAAGGTTAGCACTGCACTCGGGAAAACACAAATGCGCCGCACGGATCGAAATATGCGACGGAACAGACGATTCCAACGCCTACATGTCGCTTGAAATGGTGCACGATGGTGCGGAGACCATGGGCCACACCGCGTTTTGCTCTGGACGAGGAGGAATTCCCCAGGTCATGGACTCGAGCCATAAGACAACGGGGGGAAGAAGTTGAAGCATGGGGACAGTAACAAGGCCATAATGGAAAGTGTTAAACCAGGACAGCGGATACAAAAGATTTGGTGAGAATGAGAAAATATAATTTTGAATTGATGGAAGCCATCCTATTTGGTTACACCGTTCCTCTGGCTCTAACCTCTAACTTGAACGCTAAATGGATATAAATGACCTCCATCCTCCAGACGACTACTCTCATCGCTTCTTCATCTGGCACGAATGGATACAGGT